CTTTTAACCCTTTGGAAACAAGGAAGCGGATTATGATCCACACGGATAAAAAAAATTGAGTTTTTGAAACAAAGACAAATGAGAGAGGATGATTTGTTCAATTATGCTTAGGAAGAGCATCAAAAACATTTGCTGCACCAATGAGAGGCCCACCAAAAATTCATACTGCATAAAGAGGAGGTGCACCAAAAAGTGATGCAGCAGATGGAAGAAAGGCACAATAAATATATGTAGCAGCAAAAAGAGTTGCATCAAATTGAGGTGAAATGCAAGAAGAAACAATTAGAAAATATTTAATTGCTACTTTAGGGTTTCATGTAAATTTTGTAATGTTTTTTTAATAAAAATGGTTTGTATTTAAGTTATAATTAAACAGTTTATTAATCAAGTCAAATGTTTTATTTATAAATTCTTGTAATAAAGTAGATAGATGCTAACTCACAAATGTAATAAAAGCCCTAAAGAATATCATAGGTCCCTAACTAATGTGTAGCTGTAGTTTTTAGTATAAGTACATACTTGTATGTACTACTTATAATAATTATAAGTTAATATTATTAGTAATATATAAATAATATTAACTCTAATTCATTATGTATTCTATTGCCTATAATATTAACTTATAATAATTATAAGTTAATATTATAGGCAATAAAACACATAATGAATTAGTAATATATTTAATTATATACTGCTGCGGTTCTGTAGCTAGTAATGAAGCAAAATAGGTTTGTATGAGCTGCTGTCTATATATACTCTTGTTCTTGTATTTTATTTAATTATAATAATTATAAGTTAATATTATAGGCAATAAAACACATAATGAATTAGTAATATACTTAATTATATACTGCTGCGGTTCTGTAGTTAGTAATGAAGCAAAATAGGTTGGTATGAGCTGCTGTCTATATATACTCTTGTTCATTGGCAGTTTAAGATCATTCCCAATTTCAGTAACAATCCAGAGCACTGTTCCCTTCGATAGGGGGTAACAGTGACAAAAATCTACATCATCCCAGGTTTCTAATGGCGGATGACATTGCCTAAATATTTTTGGTCACTCATTAACACATTCTCATATAATATTATCGTCTTCTTCATCGTCTCATTAATTAAAGTATCTCAATATGTTTAAATTCATCATTAGATAGTAATAAACGTATTTATCATAGTTTGATTTCTGTGACAAACAGCTGTTAGTATATAAATTACCAGCGGCCATCTTTTTAACCCTCCGATACTGAGTAGTTAACTTTTTTGACTAATGGTTAGATATTTTACCATTGGATGCTCTTACCACGGATCAAAAAACGCATTTTGCTGATATTTAACTAATAGTAACGATTTTTTTACCAATAGTTGAGTTAACTACGGATCAAAAAACCGGCCCTAAGCTGTTTTATTTATCCGTCGGAAATTCAATCAATTAAAAACTCGGGCATCTGTTTTCTTCACCAATTACCTTTATAGTAGGTCGCTCGCAGCCTTAATAACGACGTAAATTTTAGGGTCTACGAGCTAGTTTCATGACTATATATGTACCGTACAAACAAATTCTAATAACGTACATAAAAAGAAAAATCTATTGGAGCATAGTGAATCACGTCAAATATTGAGAAGATTTAAATTTAACCCTTAGTGAATTTGAAATCGTTTCTGCTTCATTAGCTTCCTCCAAATTTACTTTGCCAACGTTACCATACCATCACACGTTGATATTCTTTACTCTTTTGCAACTGCATAAAGATAATTTAAAAGTTTTTGATAACTTTTCGGTTTATGTAATATCCATTTAATATCTTTACGCCTCTGCAGTTATTTTTCAGGTAACTTTGCCCGTCATACTCGTATCTGACATTTATTTATACATTTGTTTTATTATTAAAACAATATTTAGGTGTAACCTTCAAATTTAGGTTCATAAATATACACAAAGGCTTTTGTATAGACGCCACTAAGTCTTCAGGGTTTTGCTGTCTGCGGTTTGCCGTTTGACCTTCACGATAATCGCATCTTTTCGTGTTTAGTCATCGTACTAACTTTATTGTACTCATTGTTTATACACGGAAACCTACTTAAGGATCATTTGTCACCCAAAATAATATGCTTATGTTATTAAATATTAGTTAAATATAAAGATTTCAACGTAAAACAATTTTTTACCTCTCATTTAATCTCGTAAAATATATTGTTTTCTGTGACGTAAACTCTAACTACGCGGAACATTATGTACAGCTTTTCCTACTAATCACAATCTAGGAAGTTTATTATAAGTTACTGCCATACACATGTTATCAAAAACTTTCAATTGTATTTTTAATAATTAATAAACAAGTATAACGCTATTAAAACTCTGTAGTCACAAGTTGTTAGTAACAGCTACGCCGTAGTGGAAATCGTGGCTGCTACAGCGCATAGAGCTATGTAGTTCGGAATCCACGACGGAAAAATTAAACGGGAAATTATATTTTCACCTCTGATGGCGCATATTCGCTTAAACTTTTAACTATTTTATATTTTGCTGAAGTTATTAAATATTTTCTTATTTGCATTCTTCCGCAGCGGTTTTCTTCGGGTGCACATTACCAAATAGTTGCATACTTTTCATGAAATTCTTTGTTCAATATATTGTCTTAGGTTATCCAGATTCGATTAAAACACTACGATTGATTTAATAGTAATTGTAGAAGCCGCGGGGCATGGGTCACAAATACGTACTATAAAATTCAAAATCAAACGACCAATCTATTAATAATTTCTTCACGAAACATCAATAGTATGTTTTAAACGCTTTGTTTTAAAATCAAAACGCTTCTTACAATTTTGTACCTCCTCGGTGTATTTATCCAAAGAATTTTTAAATTTTTGGAGATTGATTAATGCTTAATTACAAGTATAACAAGTCTGGATAACAAGGTATAGAATTCTGGTTAACGTTCCTTTTTAATTTAATTTCTAACAATCTAATTTCTGAAATAACTTCGTGTTGCATTCATATTTTCCGGCTTAAATGTCACCTTGAAAAATAAATAGTGGTACACGCGCATTGTCCATTATTTAAAAAATTAAATTGTCAACATGTTAATACCAAGCATAAATAAATTATTTCATTACAAACATTGATCGACCTGTCACTGATTGTATTTGAATGTTGTAATTTAGTGCACTAGTTCTGGTAAATTTACAGTATGGCTCGCTGGAACGGAAGGCGGCGCCCTGTCCCGCCCTTCTTGGGCAGCTGACTTTAATAAAACTGGTTAGAATGTCTCCGATGAGTCCCGGGAAACGTACACCCTTATACCCAGAGCGCGATGCACTGCAGAGCGTTGCATAAGCGGCCACTATAACTAAAAATTGACACAAATTCTATAGAACCATGAATGCGAACACTTTTTTAATCTGCATTTATTTACCGAGTATTTAGAGTGATTCGGGGCCGCGCTGCTTAATATTAATTGCGACTCGGCTTTCGCGTAGATGAGAAAAGTTTAAATTTACTTTTGAGATCTGTATATACGTTTAATAAAATTTAATTAGGCTACTTTTTTAGTAATCCTGTATAGCTGAAAGGAATACTGAGCAATTGGAGAATGGCGTGTTCATTTATGCATCCTATATAAATTTACCAAGTTTAAACGTTTGGCTTAAATCAAAGGTAAATAAAGTATTTGCAAGTGTTTAACGAACATTTCTTAACATCTATAGAATGATTAATTTAATTACACATCAATAAGCACAATTATCAACATTATTAGAATTTTTATATTTTATGATAATTGGAAATAATAAACAAAATATCATCTTTATCGTATTCTTTTGATTTATTTATTATTAATTAGCACTTTAAGCAATTATCCCATCGTATACAATATTGCAATATTGCAATTGTTCACCAGAGCCAAAAAACTTAATTAATTTCGAAAAAAAATTAATAGTGTAGAACCTATCCATGATATTGCTACCATTTTTGAAACACATATTTATTTAACTGCCAGTCACCATTTGCAATATAAACTTTTTATACAAAGTTACTATAAGTACGTGTTTGGCTAGTTACAGCATACAGTTTTTTAAATCACAAACCTTTAAAACGCTACAGCGTTTTAAAGGACTAAGGAAGAAAAATGTACGCGCGGAAATATTATCAATTTACAGGCGGTAAATATGCTGTATGCAGTAAATTTATGTATTTGGGTACTTTCAATTGCAATTCAAGATGTAAGATTAGTTTATAATTATGATTAGATCTAGAAATGCAGTGGGTCATTTGGTAATGTAATGTTTGGTTGAAATAAAATGTCGTAAATGGTAAAAAAAACTAAAACTGTAGGTTCCCTAAACTTGCTGTAAGTAAACGAATGTAAAAATCTCACGCCGCAGAAATGCTGTAAGTAGCGTTAAGTTTTTAAATGGGAAGAAGTAAGTATTTGTAAAGAAAAAAATGCAGTTTTTCTTTTGCTGTAAGTACAAATTGTCTAAAATGACTGGATTTTGGTCTACATACAGCATTTAATCTTACTTAAAAAAATATAAGTACGGGCGTTTTCAACCGCGTATGTAATTTTTTTTCATCGTAGAGGCACAGGACCCGGGACATTCGATGCGGTTTTTTTTTCTGATTCTAATGGCAGTAAAAAGTCACTTTAGGTATTTTGTCTACTTACAGCAAATATGCTTTCCTACGTCGATATATATAAGATAAATCATTTTAAATGCTCTTGTTTTGCTTCGAAGCGTGTGTTCTAATTAAAAGCACACCACACTATAGAACCCGCTCACTATACTCCCGACTAGTCTTTTTGTGAAAAGTAGGTCGGCCGCGGCGAGCCAAGGCGAGCGACGCCGGGGTCAAGCCCATGTGTAGGTGAACTGGCTTTATTATACAAATTCTTTTAGAATTCCTATTGTCTCTATCAAATTTTACGTGAAGAACACGATTTAGTTAAAGTTAAATTACGCATACTTTTATACATTTTGTTTTGCGAACTAGTTGAGAACCCATGGAGATACGACCTCCAAGTATTAAAAAAGGCATACCGCTCACTCGGGCAAGAGAAAACCCGGTAAACCGAGGCTGCGTTGGTGGGATGGTGTTGTCAAGGACCTTGAAACAATAGGAGTTCGCAATTGGACGCGGGAAGCACTAGGTAGATAGATTGCGATGGCGAAGTGTAATTGAGGAGGCTAAGGCCCACAAGGGGCTGTATAACCATTGATGATGATACCGCTCACTCGAATTCCGGCAACGCACCCACCGAGATAGATGTCCAAGGGCTGCTATAGTTGCCTTTTATTGCTATGATATATAAAAACAATTGTGGTCAAAAAGTCTACACCGAGACAATTCATATACGCAACAAATCCTGTCGTGTTTCAATGCGGTTTGGATTAGAGATTCTGTTGACCAATCACAACCGAACGGAGCGCACAATGGTTTGGTCGTTTCACACTCTCACATCTCAGTTTTGTTCTGAAAATATGGCACGAGGAGTGTTAGTGATTGTGTTAATGATTAGTATCCATCATGTTTGGTTAATATACGATTATGGGACAAAAGTCATGAACGTCATATGAACGTCAAAATAATATATATATATGAAATGCTTCTAATTTTACATTCATTACCAGTTCTCAAATCAAGGGCGTAGAACGGAAAGGAAGAACCGGCAATAAATTCTCCGCCACTCTTTATAATCGCCAAGTAAAGGCGGAAACACACTTACGTGTCGTGGCGTGTCGTGACGCGCCAGAAGTATATTGGTTTCATACATTTAATATGATTAGAAACATATTTGCATGTCGTGTCGTGTCGCAACACGTTCTGTCGTGGCGCCGACTGCTCGCCACCGATTGCGCCAGAGCGGTGGTGGGGGTTATGACGCGACACGACACAACAGGCAAATGTGTTTCTATACCGGCGCGTGGCTCGTGGCGCGAACATCTAGCAGATATGAAATTAAATTATGAAATTTCTCTTCGTCACTCTCTAATTTTTTAACAAGACGATGAAATTCACCTTTGTCTTGTCTCCCTCTGTTTATAGGGTGAACCCAGTATCTTTTCTTTTTTTTGCTCTTAAGAAGTTTCATTGCTAAGAGAAATTGAAGGTCTTATTCAAAATCACTATCCGAATCAGACGAAAATATTATGTATGTTTGAACGCTGCAAAGGTTCGTTAAGTACTGTTCAGAAATAACGCCAGAGGACGACACGCCACGACACGTAAGTGTATTTCCGCCTTAAGGTAAAGGTAAGTTCACAGTTATACATGTATGTTTTTGTTTTAACTGGATCATAATGTTGAGCAGGCATAAATGCAAAGATTTACTTTAGAAAATAATTCTTTTTCAAGACGCATACCTAGTGAACATATCTTTATAGTTTATAATTAGCTTAAATGGTTAAAGCTAATCACTTTATTAACTTAAAATAAATAATGACTAAATTATGCTAAGAATTGGTAACGAAGTAGTAGGAGTAGGGTCCTGCATAATAAAGGTTGCATTTCGTAGCAAGACTCGCCGCAAACCGCAAAACCTCACCGAGATTTATTGAAACTGTCTATTGGCCTTCCCTCCTCTTTTCCTTGAACAATTCTCTCGAATAAAGACGCTGAATGGAACTGAAAATATTTCTTATATCAATCGAAACATAAAAGTAAATTTTAAAAGAGTCTCGGAGACTATCGAACTTGTATTTATTATCTTAATAATAAAGCATAAAAATTCTAGAAATAAAATTTTTTTTTTTGGGGTGACCCCTTAAGGGTTTGAAAGATGGATAGTAGCCGCTTCTCAGACATATTGAATATACATAAAAAAATTCATAGGAATCGGTCGATCCGTTTCGGAGGAGTATGGGAACGAACATTGTGACACGAATTTTAAATATTACAAAAATGTATATACATATATTAGATTTAAATGGTAACTGGTACGATGCCACAGGGACCAAATTTTATAAATTTGTTTTAGTTTCCTATTTATCCACTATTAATTATTATTATTATGTAGGTCAAGAAAATATACACTCTATACTTGTGTCTTGTCATATGTATTATAACTCAATGACGCTTACACACAATTTACGACATCCATAACATTAGCATTAACAACTAGTATTAATGTACGAGCCAAGACTGTACATTTTGCCCACTCAGGCTTCCTTAGTTTTATAATCGTGATTATTCCCTATGTACGTGCCCTGGCTGTACAGTTTGATCACTTATAAGCATGACGATTTCCTAAATCGTCGGAGTCACGCCCCGAGAGTATAGCCCGACGCAGGCACTCTCTTCGACTGTTACAGCAGTCATTCGTATCATTACAATTAACTGTATTATGGGAGTTTCACCCCGGGAGCATAGCCAGACGTCGGCACTCTCTCTGTTCGTTAGATTGCACTTATTATATAGCAATTAACATAATAGTTATTATTTCGCTCATATTCTATTGTATAACGCGAGTGATAAATATAGAGTAAGTTAAAATTATTCTATTATTTCGAACCCCTGACGATCCAGGAACCGTACAATTAATGTAATTCACATTATATTCATATTACAGGTGATATTATAGTCAAAAGTCAAGGAAACAATAACGTAGAAAAGAACACAGTACAATCCCATCATAAAATTACATGTTAAATAAAATATCCTTTCACACATAACTAGTTGTTTGTTGTAAATGATATACCTAGATATTATTAATATGTATTTCTGATCAATTGCAGTTCTGTCGTGCGGCGAGGCGCGTGGCGCAGGTGGCGCGGGAGGGGCGGGCAGCGCAGGCCGCGCTAGGCGCTATGTGGGGCTGTACACAGGCCCGTACTTTGACCCGGCGGCGCCGAACAATGTGACAGCACAGCTGGGCACGCATGCCTACCTGCCCTGCAAGGTGCGCCAGCTTAGCAACAAATCAGTCTCGTGGATCCGCCGCCGTGACGCACACATCCTCACCGTCGACCGATTCACATTCATCGCCGATGAGCGCTTCCAGGCTTTCCTCGTCGAGGCCACAGACACATGGACGCTGCAAGTCAAGTACGTGCAGCCGCGCGACGCTGGCCTCTACGAGTGCCAGGTCGGGACCGAGCCAAAGATGAGCCACTTCGTGCAGCTCAACGTTGTGGGTAAGACAATCACGTCTAAAAGTAATTTTCTACATGAAAACATTTAAAATGGCCACTACGCTCAATTTACATTTAAAAAGTCTCTTTACGAACAGTCAATGAACTCCATCCTGTTTCATATCACCTTTTGCCAGTGACGATCTCTAAACATATATTCCGTCAGATCAAAACGTAAAATGAGTTTGATATTCAGATTTTCTAGATGAAATGAGCTCATATGAATATTCATAAAAAATTAATATGCTCGCAAATAACTTGGAATGAAATAATTTCTTTTTTAATACATAATAAAAGCAGTTTGTTCGCATTCGATACATATATCATATCTTATTCTAATGATATCTAGCACAACCTCATCCGTTTGCCAATTGGCAGCAGCACCTCCGAGTTTCTTTATACGCCATTATCGCGCGCCTCCAATAAATTCCCATATTTTGTGAATATATCGTCACATAGCTTTGTGTCATTAATATTTTTAGTCATACACATTGTTATTTAAGCCCGAAATAAACAATCTTGGACTATATTCTATAAATACTATCATATATAACGCAAGATATAATATCTAATATGACTATGTCGTGGTACATTCCAGTGCCTAAGATTGAAATCGCAGGCGAGAGCGAGATCTACGTGAAGGCGGGAAGCACGGTCAGCCTCAAGTGCGTAATCACGCAGGCGCTGGAGGAGCCCGCCTATATATTCTGGTACCACAACGATCAGCGAGTGCTGAACTACCGGCGCGGTCTTCGCGATATCCGGGTAGAGCGGTTGGGACCCGACACCACCGTAGGTCACCTCGTCCTACACCATCCAGTGCGCGAAGACTCCGGCAACTACTCCTGCGCACCATCCAACCTTGACTCAGCTTCCGTCGTACTCCATGTGCTTAGTGGTAAGTAGATCAAGTTGAAATTGTATTTGATAGCATTCAATTTGATCACCTCGATTACACTACTTTTCTGGTTTCAGGTGAGCAACCAGCCGCTATGCAGCACGGTAATGCAGCGCGGCCCGCTGCACCCAATGCCGCACTATTGACTTTAGGTGCACTCACCGCACTATGGGGCATGTCACTGGCTCCACGAGTTCCATCACGGGGTGATCCAGGCCGGGGTGTAGTAGTATTGCTAGCTCCATTCATTCCGCTTTTCCGTCTGCTCGCCTTCGTGATGTCTATATTGTGAGTATCTTCTTTTATTTTTTACGTTTTAAAAACCTTTATCGCATCTTTACTTTTCAAGGACTAATGTGGAGGACAAATTAATTTATGGCCGAAGTCTAATATATGATTATGATGATAAATACTATATCCCACACGAGGCTACACAAATCATAATATATATATATATATAAATTACGCGTCATGTTGTTAGTCCGCTATAACTCCTAAACTAGTTAACCGATTTCAATCGAATTTGCACACCGTGTGCAGTTTGATCTAACTTAAAAGATAGGATAGCTTAAATATACATATTGGATATATATATATTGTACGTGTGTATGTCACTGAACTCCTCTTAAACGGCTGGACCGATTTGAATGATTTTTTTTGTATGCGTGTCGGTGGAGGCCACGTCGGTACGTTCATACTTTGTTTAATATCCTAATCGCTTGAAATATCATGCAGGACAACGTCTGTCGGGTTTGCTAGTTCTATATATTTTGTTGTTTTTTGTATGTATTAAATACTATAGTTAAAGAAGAGCAGAAATGTCTGTGTATGCTTAATATAATAATAGCAGAGTCTGTACCACAAAATGCTTCTTAAAAGCAATAACTAAATTATTTTAATTCAGTCTCGACAAACACTAAACTTCGTGACAAACGAAGCGTTTAAAGCAGTGGCGTAGCTACCAAGGGGCTAGGCGGGGCAGTGCCCCAGGGCCCTCAAGCTCAGGGGGCCCTCGAATCCTCACCAGAAATCTCGATCATTCTGAACTTTTGGAAGTTTCTCCCATTTTCAAAATAAATATGACGGGTTGCACCTTGCAACCCCACTTTAATCAAGACATTAATTTGAGAGAAATTCAAAACTTATGCCTAGGGAATTCCCCTAAATTCTTTCTGAAGGTTGGCAGTGTTGTCAAATTGACGGATAGTGATATGTGCATTTTATTATTCATCGATGTGCGTTTTATTGTGAATTCGAGTTAAGATTTTTTTTTGAGAACGGTTAAAAAATTCATGCTGTACCTATGTATTAATAGTAAGTAAGCTAATGTCAATAAACTTTTTTGTACTGGTCAATATAGTGGTTAAATTTTATTTGATTTTAACACTCATATTGATGTCCGTTAAAGTCAATAAATCGTGTCAAATCTAAGATTTCGGCTACAGCTCATTGTATAACGCGAATTAGATAGTAATTGAAAACAAAACCGCATCAAGCCTGGATTTAAACGAAGTCATTGATACTTTTGCGAAAACTAAAGCTAGGAAAAATTTGTAAATATAATTGTTATTTAGTCAGTTGGTAGGCCCCACCTTTATATAATAAACCCTTGAATCTTCTGTATTTCATTTTATTCGCCAAACCTTCACCAAGTATTAATTGTAATTTATGTTGTTTCTGTTTAATATTTTTATTACCTGCCCTGCACAAGAAAGAGCTTAAGTAGCTTAGCATTTTTAAAGTATTTGTAAATTTCATATTTTGATCAGTTTACACAGCAGTGGGGCCCCATTTTTTAACTTGCCCCAGGGCCCTTGGTCACCTAGCTACGCCACTGGTTAAAGCCTATATATAGCTGTTTACTTGTTACTTGTTTACTTTTAACAAACCATCTTACTATTCCAGGATCCTGTGTCACGACGAGGATGATCCCCAATAGCGGAAGGCGCATTGTCCGGCCGTAGACATAGAATGTTCTCGGCCATTGATACGATATTGTCCCTGAATACATGAGGAACGTCAGAACGAACACCGACATGTGATGTGTAAATAGTAGTTTAATTAAATTTTGAATAATATAATGATCGTCACAGATACGGTACCTACTGAATATAATGTGTTTTATATATTTAATGTCTGAACTAATTAGTGAGACCGTCGCGAGCCGGTATATCGATAGTCCACTCGAGCCGTGACTTGTGAACGTCGCTTTTGTAAACTTGTAAATATTATTGATACATTATATATAATATAAATACTTATTTATTGTTTAAAACAAAGAGCGCGCCATGCAGTCTTGACACTTGATTTACTTACTGTCGACGTCAAACGTCGTAATTAAATAGTATAATCACCAATTTTGTTTTATTAAATTTATGTTTTATAGTCACTTTTCTTGGTTTTTCGTGTTTATATTGCAGCTCATTATTTTAGCGATAATACCTACTCTTGCTGCAAATTATTAGTTCCAAGTATTCATCCGAATACCAACATTTTTAGTAGCATTTTTCATTAATATAAGTGCTGTTTGTATATAACTATTCAAATGAAAATGCGTTTTGTAAGAAATGACTATGACGCGTCGCTGGAAATCTTGGTCGACAGACTTGATTAGTAAAATTCAGAAATGAGACTTAAGCTACGGTTTCCTAGAAAAGCGGTGCGACCCTATTCAATCGTAGTCACTCAGTACTCACTCGACCGTTAGGTCGTGGTAAAAAATGGACGATTTGGACATAGCATTATTAGTATTTTTGAATGATTTTGCTTCACAAATTTTGCTTCATCTGAGCTTGTTTGTACTCTTTGGATTTGATATTGTACAAAGCTTCATAATTTTTAACAAAATCAATTAATTGTTCATCATTTTCCCTCGTCCAAGTCATTGTATTAATTAAATATGCGCACCGCTACACGCGAAAAATGTTAAACTACTGTTTATCACCGCTATGACGGGCGTCATGCAAATGACAGCACCGCTATTTGACGTTACGGTGACACTCAACGTTCTCTAGAAAACCTACTCCGATGTTATTTATATACAACGTATGGGTGACGTCACCCAACGTTACATTACGGCCGTTAGATAACGGCACCACTTTTCTAGGAAACCTAAGCTTTAGCACTAAGTCTCATTTCTGTATCTCACGCTTGGAATAAAGCGTCGATTAATTTTCTAAGTGTCGGCTAAGCCGATATGAATGACTTAAATTAGAGTGAGCAAGACGTCGTGTGGCGTGTACGTTGTGTAAATATATGGACATTGTATAGGGATGTGGCCCTGCCCGACGCAATTTTGTATGTTACTTTAAGTATATCTGGTTTTATCGCAGTTTTCAACGTGTTGACCTAGTCCTAAGTGAAACAGAATCCATTTTACTTTACAAAATTCAAGAATTATCAACGACCTCAAAGGACTGTTACTAAAAAGGGAAAAAAAACTTCAGAGAATTCTACTTTCATCTATCAAATTGTCACTTGAAGGGTTATGTTGCGAACCAAAGCTGATTTTTAATTTTATTGTGTGCAATACACCATATTTGATTTTCCGCAATATTCCCGGGATACAACGAAGGAAAAGTTTAAATGAGGGCGCTCTTTTGAGGTCAGTGAATAAGTTCTCGATATGATCGGGAAAAAGTTATCCCTCGGCGCGTGTAGTTCGAAACTATGAATTCATAAGCAGGCATGTGCGAAACTAATTGTAAATGATTTCTTAACTTACAAGATACAAGGAATGACTAGCCCTCAGTCTCCCAAAACAATGTTAATTTTAGAAGTATATCGAGATTATACCCAGAACTTTCGTAAGGCAATTCCTTAATTTGGATTGCAGCTAGTCTGTCTAAAATACCTATTTATCTTTCTCGTGGGACAAAAACAAGTAGGAAAATATATAAATACTGACGTTGGTCAATGACTCTATCCGCCCATCATATATGCATATACCCATATCTAAAATATAAGATACGTTTTATTTCTTTTGGTTATTTTTTTTATTGTTAACAGTTATTTAAAAAAATAAAGCGTGTATTTAAATACAAACCTTAAGTCATATATTATGCCTTCGCTTAAATGTTTTGGACGATTTTTCTCATTTAAGACTGATTTACGTTTTAAAATACAGACCACAGTCTAGTGAAACCACATTTTTTTAAATAATCTATAGCTATAGATAGCACACATAACTTGTTCTATCTGTTCGTAGGTCATCAATCAACTTATTCAGAAAAAGTTCCCGCCATAAGTATTGTCATCCGTGTCTATGTTCGAGACTATATAAATGTCAAAAAAAGTTATATGTCCACATACAAAATATTTTAAACAACACGCGCTGGGATAATTTCCATTATGTCATTGTACATTATAGTTATTTGGTTACACTAATTTTCCACCTATTTATCTCTTGGCACTGGGAGAAAATGGGCGGAAGTTGAATTGTGTAAGTTTGATTCGTTGACACTGTTACTGCCTCACTGTAAATATTATAATATTAATCCGTAAGTACTATAAATAAAGATCGTTGAAATTATGTATGAGTTTTAATACGTCGACTACCTAAAGTAAATTGACAATGCAAAGGGAGCGTTCTAGTATTACGTCACGCAATTTTTGGAGATTATTGCCCCCTCCTATATGAGGGGCATATAACGCCTTAACGTTTTTCTGTACCCAAGTAGAGTAAAACGTTTCGTGACCACCTAGTAACTCTTTATACCTAAACGTTACCATTATGAATAACGTCGAAAATAATATTAAAAATAACGCGTAATTCAATCCCCGCCCCGTATCGTAAAGTTTTACAAAAGGAACCCCCCCAATTCGTTACGTAATACTTGAACGCTCCCAAACCTACAAAACGTATTTAAATGTTTCTATACTTATTCATGTTTTTCTGATGTTGCCCAAATTGAAAAAATTAAACAACTTAATACAATATTTTGAATTATGACATTTAAAAAAAGTAAGGTTCTTTAGATAGATTCTAAATGCCACCCATGGTTATTTATAATAATTATATAATTCAATTATTTTAAAAATAAAAATTATTAATGGAGGTAAGTTTTATACGGAAATTCCCGGATATGTCGACAACGAATTATTTCATATTTCGGCCATACAATGCGCAGAGGTGACAAGAAATTGGAGAAACTGATTGTGGTTGGTAACGCAGAAAGCAAAAGATCACTTGGCCTGGTTGTTTACCAATCAGATGGACCGATCAAGTGAAAGAGTCATCGTCCTCATTGCTATACCCTAAGATATATGTACTGTAAGGCCCTTTCTCCACTGCTCCGGTCCGACGTCGGATACCGGAATGAGTCATTAGAAAAATATCGGAAGGCCGGATTGCGCTTCTCCACTATATCCGATCCGACAATAATCGATACTTGTATATTTATCATGCTAATGTAACTAAATTCCATATACTTTATTTTAATAATAAAACGTTCTAAATTCTGAATATTTTATTGCCCTGACAAGTTTATTACTTTTTTTAAATTGTCTATTTTAAAATATTATAATCTACTTCTTTTTCTAATTCTTTCAAATTAAAGAAACTATAAATAAACCTGTGAATAATAATTTATAACCTCTTGGATAGTTGGACCGATAAAACACCGCGTTCCGATCTAGCATGTTATCGGATCGTTAAAAACCGGATGCCGGAGTAGTGGAGAAGTACGTATGTAGGTACTGTTGTGAGTTTCTAAATCGGATCGGTAATTAACGTTTGCCGGACCAGAGCAGTGGAGAAACGGCCTAAGAGAGGCACTGGACAGAAAACGGTGGAACATGATATCCAGATGTTTCCTTGGTGACTACGATCTACGACGCTCAAGCATGTGCTACCGACCAAATAGAAAGAGAGGTAACTTTTGTACACTTTACAAACGTCAAAAAATGCAAGTCTCTAAATTTATATTACGGCTAGCTCTCGAATCAAGGGCATAGGCTTAGAATGGACGAGAACAACTGGCAGAAAACTCTTTAGCCACTCCTATTAACCGTCAAATATTTTGTTTATTAAGATGTAAGGAGCTTGAACCATTATACCTTGCTCCACATGGCATGCAATCAAATATCACTTAATTGATCAATATAAACAACAAACTTTTAGCTACAAACACGTTTATTTTAGTGAATTCATATATAAAAAATAATTTTAGCACCATCTAGTGGAATATTAAAATACTAAGTGTTCATGGTGATCATACAATGGACAATTTCCGCTAAATGTGACGTGACAACTGTGAATGTCATTCCCATACAAATTATGACTATTACTTGGGAACCTTAAGTTGGCGGGGGAAATTAATTTTTTGCACTTTTTTTTGGCTCTATCAACTGTTCGTTAACTGTTCTTCATTGTTCTATCAAAAAAATTTTTTGTTCGTTCTTATTTTTTTTTTTTAATTATAAAAAAATTGACCCTCAATTTGGCACGAACTATAGATATTTTGATATTTTTTGTTTTTTCTAATAGTTTAGAACTATTCAATGACTGTTCGTTCAAAATAAACAACTGTTCGGCTTTCATTATCCTGTAATTTAATAATAATTAACTTTTTTTTATAAATCTTAATTAAATGTTATTGCGCATGCGCAGTATTAATGCGCATAGTTCTCATAAATTATGCGCGGCCTATTTGAATTCGATTCAAAGAGACAACACAACAATAACAGCAACAACAACAAAATCATCATCATCACCCGGTTTTTACTTTCATTTATATTTTGTTATTTTATACAAACAAAATGAACTCTTTCTTAACATCTAAAGTCGTATTTCTTGTACTTATCCATTCTTTTAACATTCCTGATTAAATATATTGATTGAGAAAAATAGAAAAGGATTAGTCCCATGCAAACTATAGGTCTACCAGAATCTGATGGCAAAAAAAGTTTAAAACTTAGCGATTTGCATGTGGCAACAAAAAAAATTTCATCTGTCATCTGAAATTTCGAGGAATTGTTTTTGGTTTGGCTTCAAATTTACTTTAAAAAGTGGTGAAAATGTCGAAAAAACCTCTTCGATCGCAAGCAAGAAATATTGTTTTCAATGTTTATCAAAGAATACTTGATCAACAAGGTGCAGAACATACACAATCATCGATATTGAGCCCATGTCACTTGCACATTGAGTGGTTAGTAGGAATGACACGTCTTGATACTTTGGTTTATTGGATTTTCGTGTGTATTATATTATGTACTTATATAAACTTTGGTTTATTTCAGGGGTTTCTAATACTACCTTAAGATGAATTGTTGCCGAAGGCTGATCTAATAAGGGCGTATTTAGTACGCCCGGTAAAAACAGGAAAGGTGCCAAAAAAATAAACTTGGATAGATTTGATTTCGAATTGAAAAAAAAACTAAATATCAGATAGATGAGATTTTTAAATCACACGGCCACGAAGTTTTGAGGCTCCCACCATAACATTGTACGTTAAACCCCATAGAATTAATCTGGGGACTTGCGGGTAAAAACTTGCGGGTAAAAACGTCAATAGATCTGCAAGTGATATAAAACTATTAACAGAGAAATGATTTAAGAAGCTTACTCTCAAGTAGGGATCGATGAATGGCGAAAATCTTGTGAACATGTAATAAAAATTGAAAATCAGTTCATAGAACAAGATCAGTTAATTGAGATGCAGGAGGATAGGTTTATATTAAATACTGCGTCTTCTCCTTCATATAAAGACTTTTTTATGGATGTGCAGAATTTGGAACCATTTCTAGTTCAGTTCTAATAGCCTATAATTAATGAATAAACTCATGAACGGAGTAATTGGAGTTTTCATCTAAATTTCAAACCCCACATTCGCCACAGTAAAATTTTCAAATATTATCCTTGATCATTGGATAAATTTTTATATTTGCATGTATCACACACAATCAGCCGATATAATGGAAATAAAGTATCAAAACGTTTTACTCCAATTTCCCCGGTATTGCTAGCGTCAATTTCTTTTTTCCCTTTTTGCCATCAGATCCTGGTAGACCTTTATATATTTATATATTGATACAATATATTCTAGAACCAATTTCTTTTTCATTCTGTCAATATTTTTAATTATTAATTATTATTATGACAGCAAGTCAATTTGACAGACCTAGCGAACAGGCTCGCTAGGTCTGTCAAGCAGAGGCAGTTAGTTGTTGGAGGCAGATAATGTGGCTGGCTTTTTTACATTAAGTATTTAAATTTGAGAAAATATACCTTTATTGATATTTTGCGTTTTAATTATTATCTAGCTATCAAACGATTTCTAAGAATTTTGTTCAAGGTTTCTAATTAGTAACTTATCCTCCTGGTACTAATAGATGATGATGATTTTGTTGTTGTTGCTGTTATTGTTGTGTTGTCTCTTTGAATCGAATTCAAATAGGCCGCGCATAATTTATGAGAACTATGCGCATTGATACTGCGCATGCGCAATAACATTTAATTAAGATTTATAAAAAAAAGTTAATTATTATTAAATTACAGGATAATGAAAGCCGAACAGTTGTTTATTTTGAACGAACAGTTATTGAATAGTTCTAAACTATTAGAAAAAACAAAAAAATATCAAAATATCTATAGTTCGTGCCAAATTGAGGGTAAATTTTTTTATAATTAAAAAAAAATAAGAACGAACAAAAAAAATTTTTGATAGAACAATGAAGAACAGTTAACGCACAGTTGATAGAGCCAAAAAAAGTGCAAAAAATTAATTTCCCCCGCCAACTTAAGGTTCCCCTATTACTTGGTCTCAAGCATAGAGAAGTAATATATATGTACTGGGAAGTCTCAAGCCCCTGCTATGACCAATCACATTATGTATGGAAATAATAATTGTTGAAATTAAAACAAAAAGCATACTCAGGACTTGCATAAACCAGTGGTTTAAGTTAACTTCAAACCAAATAATAATGTCTGACTTTAGTTATTGTAATGGCAATCAATAAAGACAAAATATGAAAAAAATAAAAAATACAAGCCCTAAAATTTTACATATATTTTATTTATAATAATTTGGAGTATTATTGGGAGTACATTATTCTTAACACTGCCTTGCAAAATATTATGTATGTACTATTATTTCTACACCAAGCTAATGGTTTACCATTTGTTATCTGTTTATGGTGATCCAGAGTGTGTGCTCGAATCGCTAATGTTTATACTCTTTGGCGCAGCAGTCAACGGTCAGAGATTACAGAGGTTTGAAATTTGACATATCGAGGGTTATCGGCCATCGGGCGGGGAATGTCGGTTCAGTCGTTTTGAGAATTGCGGTAGAATAAACATTCGTTATTGTTCTTCGTATTTTCCGGCCGTATTTAATAAAAATGTTAGCGCAATAAAAATGCCAAGTGAATACTACTTTCTAGATTACTATAATATTGAAATGGATTTTTTTATTTGCTGATAGACTGTGTATTCAGTGCTATGATACAATCCTAGCGCAGCTCCAACCCTCGAAACTAGTCGATATTATGTGGCCGGGACGCGAAAAAGACATACTTTTAAATTATGATTCCAATGGTGTATACAGTGTATGGTTTTGCGATTTTCTTTATGGTCGCGTGGGTGTGTTTGTGGCTAATTCATATAATGGCCTTTTCCTATTCAAAGTGGAAACTGCATCGGACTGTAGACCGGTCTCCGCCGGAGCAACCACTTCCCGGTGTTTCGATTTTAAAACCACTTACCGGAGTAGATCCAAACCTGTTCTCTAACTTAGAGACGTTTTTCACACTGGACTACCCAACGTATGAAATTCTATTTTGTGTCGAAAACGAGCAGGATCCTGCTTTAATGCTTGTGAACAGTCTTATTCACAAATACCCTCGAGTGGATGCAAGGTATTTCATCGGCGGAACGCGAGTCGGCGTTAACCCTAAGATCAACAACATGCATCCAGCGTATATGGCGGCTAAGCATCCCCTTATATTAGTGAGTGATTCTGGAATTCGAATGAGAGAAGACAGTCTATTGGACATGGTGCAAAACATGAAGGAGGACGTGGCGATAGTTCATCAGATGCCATTCACGTGGGATGCGGACGGCTTCGCTGCCGTCTACGAGAAAGTATATTTTGGCACGGCGCAGGCGCGGATGTACTTGGGAGCAGATTTCCTCGGCATCAACTGTCACGTCGGAATGTCGTCTCTTGTACGGCGCTGTGCGCTGGAAGAGGCAGGGGGTCTGGCCGCATTTGGCGAGTATCTGGCTGAGGATTTCTTCATGGCGAAAGCGGTGTTATCCCGTGGGTGGCGGTTGCGCGTAGCATCGTTACCGGCTCTTCAAAATTCAGGCTCCAAGTCGATAGGCGGAATGCAGGCGCGGCTTAAGCGGTGGGCGCGTCTCCGGATAGCCATGGTGCCAACTACGGCGCTGCTGGAACCTCTAAGTGAGTGTCTACCGCTAGGCGCGGGTGCCGCTTGGGCCGCTGGACAGCTCTTCGGTGCGGAGCCCTTACCTTTCTTTCTTGTGCACATGCTTGTGTGGTTTCTATCAGACTGGCTCATGCTCCGCTCAGTTCAAAATGGGTCACCTCCATTTACAAAAGTAGAGTTTCTCTTGGCCTGGGTGTGGAGTGAGTGTTGTGCACCATTGGTGTTGGCAACAGCAGTGCTTAACCCAGAGATTGCTTGGCGGGCTCGCAACTACCGGCTGGACTGGGGTGGCCGAGCACATGAGCTCAAACCCAAACTCAAGTTCTGAGCATGATCACTTCAATGAAAGCTTTAATTTGGTTTAAAAAGAAGCAACCTTCAGTGCTACTGTTGATGTGAGTTTATAATGAGTATATTAGTATTAAGTTTTTATTTTAATTGCTATTTATAGTTTGAAATGTATGATGAATACTTGTTATTCTTGTTTTAAAGAGTTTTGTATGTTTATAGATTAAACAAAATATTTCAGCTGCTGTTTCCTACTTTGTGGTTCATTGTTGTGATCTGCCATAAACTTAAGAGCCAGCTTATTTAAATTGATGGATAGGTCATTGTCTACACAAATGCATATTGGCACACTACTCATTGTGATATCAAAAAAATGTATGTATCGATGACACATTCCAATAGATTGCATGTGCTAAGGTCAGTCAAAACAAGATCAACAAATTACAGCTACAACATTCAACACTCAACACTTATTAGTTTATTGTATATTATATTGTAACACAAAAAAGTATGTTGTGATATTGTGAAATCTTGTTAAAAGAAGTCTACTTTATTATTTAAATTTTGATAACTATTTAAATTCAAGGTTTGGGCTCTATTTTTATTTTTTACACTTGCCTTAAACATTGCATTCTAAATTAATTAAAAATATACAGGGTTGTACTAAACATTTTTAAATTACATTTTGCTTATTTATTTTATGTACCTTTGGACTGAATGTTCAAACTTCAACCACTTTGGCCTGAAGGGGACCAAAAAAAGAAAATAATTATTTTTCAAATGTAGAATAAAAAGCTGATTCCGTATAATTTTTGGACAAATTAATTTAATTGAGAATTAAAGACTGGTTAGCCGGCATCCAGAGGTACTTGAGCCTTTTGTTGAGGGTTTATCATTAGAGTGCCATGAATACTTGTATTACATAAATTCTAGTTATTCTGCCTTTGAATACTAATTGAATGACCTAAATTGCAACATGCCTAGGGCTGCCAAGTGCTTCAATTATAAATACATATTCACCCCTTAATACTAAAGAATTTCACATTGAATGGCTTGAAAATATATTGCTTGAAAGTAACATATTTTCATAGATTTCATTTGACACCTTGTCTTATTGTTAAATATTTGTGCTTAAATTTTTGTAATATTGATAAAATAAAATGAGCCATATAGTTTACATTAGAGAAATTATTCCCACTGATAAAAGTTCCCATTAACTTTGTGTGTTTCCTACATTGTTTCGTTGTATGGTGGGTCCCTGAAATATAAGAACTGTCTTTATTTTATAACTTTTGTAAAGTACTATTTACGTCAATGTACTTAGAATTGTTGAGTTAATGGCTCATTAAATTGTGATTTATAGCATAAAAAATTCGCATTCCACATGCGTCGTTATAGGTAATGCTTGCACTCCACTCCGCTGTGGCATGTTTATGCGCTTAAATAATAGCTTGTGCCGGTTTTTTGATATTTAAAACATCAAAAAGAAATATTTGATAATAAAATTATTCCTGTATATTTAATAAGTTGCAAAACACAAAACCTATGTTTTAAGTCAAGTCCAAGCATAATAACTATTGATTTAATTGTGCAATTGTATGCTTCTAATAAGTATTTTGATGTTTAAGCCTGTCACTTTTAACCCAAAAAACAAAAAGCCATTTACTTATGAATATATTTAATAGGAATGTCATACTTCTGGCCCGGTTGGAAAATTTTACAAACCTCCTGGGTGCACTCATTCTGGACCAATAGCTATCAATACCTAAACCCTATCTTGATGTTATGCAATTAGCCTCTGCCTATAAGTCTTTTTATCAATGATGAACAAGGGTCGTACTCAATATTGATTGTCCATGCCAACTTGATTTATAGAACTCAATATAACACACTCTTATATGTCCTCGCACTGTACTCAACAGGATATTGAAATTAAGCATGGAATGTTTTAAGTCTTGTACAGATACCGGCAAACTTCTTGAGCATTAAACAATTTAGTGGGGGAATGTTTGTCATCGTACACATAAACGTCAACTGATTTACCAATCACGCGATCGACACGTCACTCTCCCGCCGTCCCCTTCCCAGTGATACCTTAAAATCGCTTCTGCGCAGGCAAGGACATTTGTTCAAGATGTTTGCCGGTATCTGTAGTTGTTGTTTCAAGAAATTATAAGATATGTTTTAGTTGGCTTGGTACCATGCAAAAGTCGGCAACTTTTTATCCTAATTTAACGAAGACAATGTGATGTTAGCATCTTATCATGATATCATTGATTATTACTACTGATATTGAATGAAAGATAAAATACTATTATTTATCACTAGCCTGTACGAATTGTGATGAAACCGGCATGCCTTAGACCCAAAAAGTCGACGGTGTGTCAGGCACAAAACACTGATCCTATTGGAAAAAACAAAATCACGAAACAGATACAGAAATCTGAGATCCAGACCTGAAACGCAACTGGTTTTATTTGTTTGATTTTTAAAAAATTCTTGTAATGCTTCTAAATTTGCCTAACATGTTACACGATTATGAATACCACAGAAGCTATTTGCTAATGAGTGATGAAACGTACCTATTTTAAAAGGTTTGTTGTCCATTCAATATAACCCTGACGATATCATGATTGTTTAATGGATTATTGTGACAGGCGAGAAGCATTGTTTGTATGGAATAATGTGCTCAAAACTTTTTGTTGTAAATGTACCTAGTTATAGTTCAAAGTACCTGAAGGTCTTGCAGGAAAAGAAACCTTGTTAGTTTGATCTAAGGTCCTATTTCAATGGCAGCGTCGATTGATGCAGCTCACATAATATGATAGCGAACTAAAGATATGTTTACAAAAAGCGAACGTCTAGAATTCAAAACCAATAACAGCAAATGTTTCCATGCTTACGATAATTTGTAATAAAAAATTGTAAAGTGTAATAGACGTTACTATCTATAGGAACGTGAAGTTGTTCCATCTTAAAGTTTTCGGTTTTTTACAGCTTTTACTGTACTTTAAAACTAAATATTACTGGATGCAAATAATACTTTAATTGTGACAAGGAAACTAATATTGCCCTAAGAAGCAAACCACAAAGCACATACATATATGTATTACATGTTTAAGGGCTGTATCAAACAAGTTTTATCGGTAAATTTCCCGCTTGACCTTGTAGGCTAGACTAGTTACGAACGTTGAACTCTCTGTGTGTTAAATTTAAATTAATCAGCAACAAAATCGGAGCCTGCTAATAAAATAATAGTAAAATTTGGCGTGTCGCTATAATTCTTATAATACAACAAATAAAGGAAATCGATTTTCCCCTTGAAAAGCCTTCAATTTATATTCCGTGATAATGATTCATACGAGGTTAGGTTACCATAGTTTATACGTAACAATTCATGTAACGTTATTGGTAATGTACCCTACAATTGTTATTTACTTACGCATAGCAATAAAATTTTCATTCATAAAAATCACATATCACGTGTTATTTACGGTTTGAGAAAAACATACACAATTATACTTTGTTACGAGGACCATATTTTCTTTTATAACCTTCTAATATTGTTAAGAAGTTTTACAATTACCAGGTAATTTATAAATCGATAAGAATGTCAATACGATAGTACTCCAGATACGCAAGTGCGTAAGTACTAAATTTATCGTATCGCAATATATACGTCAATATCGGCGCATGATAGAACATATTTTTTAATATAATTTTTTTTAGTAATATCACCATTTAACCTTAATTAGGTCGCGGTAACAAATTAATCTTTTAAATCAGCTATGGTCAGTAGTAAGATTCGAGTGTTAAAGAGGTAAAATAAAGTTAATGCTAAAATATTTAAAGATAATTGTCGTACGGTTTTGATCTAACATTACCGTCAAAATTTGTATCGAGATAAACCCATTACGATAAGCGTTATCCTTTACGAGGAATTGATTTGATATAATTCTAGAGAATCAAATTCTGATAACAGCACCTTCTTGTAAACACCTCAACGAAATCTGTTATCAGAAAACAACGAAATATATGTTGATATCATCACCGAAAAAAACGTTCCGTAAAAGTCACTCTGCCTTAAAAACTGGACTAAGTAAGGTTGAGTCATTACAAAAAAAACTAAAATCAATATAGCAAATACCAGAATGGTGAATGTCAGCATTTCAAAAGTTTTGAGCACATCTTAATTTCCATACATTTTATCTCTGTTCAAAGAACATAGCTAGTTTGCAAACATTATATTAGCAATAATTTTTAATTAATGTACAAGTTATACAGCGGTCCCAATTTTTAGCGATCATTTATGTATGACACCAATATATATTCATATTTTTAAATATAACGATTTTTTTGTAACTCTAGTTATCTTTAAAAATAATGGATTAATATTTCTTTTTGTATGTAATTACTGTCCGACATCTATGAATAACAGCATATTTACGACCTGATGTATATAATATGTAAGTACCACTTTGGAAACGGGATTAGGCCTATCCATACACTATGTAGCATAATATTTATTTCTGTGATTATTTCGAGCATAAGTTGCGAATGTACAAGTACACAATGCTGCCATGGATGTTATTTCGATGCGCAAATTTTTATTTAATTTTTACGAGGATAATTTTTATTTTTAAAGTACAACATTGGTTGTGATTTAAAGCCGCTCGGTTGCTACAAATGTTATAATTTTCGACTGTATGACCATGATGATACAATGATGTTTTTTGTTATTTTCGCTTATTGTAAGGAATCAAACTGCTCAAACGAGGTGTGATCTAAGCTTCATTTACAGCCAATAGTAAGTTCTAGTTTTCTTTATTTCCCAAGTCTTTAGTCTGAAATCAACTCGTAAAGTTAATCTAGGCGCTTCACGCTTCACTGCTCTAGTCGCTTACGTAAAAATTTAAAAATATTTCATTCATAGTGAATGTAAAACAACTTTATTTCAGTATCTCACGCAATCAAAAATTGGCATTACTCTTCGTACTTCTAAGTATAAAATCAACAAATCTACTTTGTCTCTCTAAGTGC